CATTCACGATTAATATTGAATTATTAACAATGCTATTTCATTAACATATTATTGCATAATCAATAAATCTGAAATTTGATGAAATTAAAAGATATATTTAAAGTAATAAAGTTTTAAATATTTTTATATGAAACTTGAAAAATTATATGATAATAAATAATAATCGAATATTAAAATAATTTTATTTAAAAAAATAAGTGAATAAAAATATTGTCAATATGCTATACACTATACACTAGCAACGAAAATGTGAAAACCAAAAATTCAATGCTTACACGGATTTTTTAGGCATAAAATATGATATTAATTATAATGAAATGAAAATGTAGATATTAAATTTCAATTATTATTTATTTTTCAGTAATCTCATATCAGAATAAGAAATTTTTGAGTGCAAATAAAATAAAGACAAAGATTTTTCAACTGATGTATTGATTTGAAATTCAAATTGATTCAGGTATCGTTAGTAACTTTTTTGTATATATAAATAATTAATTAACATATAAAGTAATTAAAAGAAACAAATCTGTGCGTAGAAAAACACATTTAATTCAAAATCTTATAGAAATATATTTTGATTCATGCCTATGAATTTTGACAAATAGACAAATTAAGCATTATACTTCGATTCATCTATGGATTTAAATAAAATATTTAAACATGACTTATTTATGGATTTAAATATAATTATTATTATTTATTATTATTATTTATTATTATTATTTATTATTATTATTATTTGATATTAATATAAAATGCTTATAATTTAATGTTATATTAATTTAAAATACTTATATCAAGTCTTACCCGAGATATGTTTATATGAATTTTCCTCATGATTTTGCTATTTAAAATACATTCTTTAAAAGTATCCCGAATTTTTATTTTTAAAAATCATGAAAAACAGCAATTTTCATTCTTCGTTCACGAGCACTTATTGCTCGCGAGATTTATAAACAGTTTATTCGGAAAAATTCTTCGTATGGAAATCCTTTTTTATTATTATCTGTCATCGATTTCTATTAAGATTAAGCAAAGAATGATGTTATCTGAGAAGATTGTTTTTGAGAAAAGTTTAATTATTAATTAAGATACTTATAATTATATATTTTTGATGAATTTCAGCATGGCTGGAGCGAAGCCCGATTTCAAGAATGACATATTGTAGACACAGCTGACTCAACGGCAACTAAACATCATTCTAATTCGAGAAATTTTCCTCTAACTTGAGAAGATGTCACGAGTTAGGCACTGACCGCAATATTATTGGTTATTATCGTGCCCCACTAGAAAACTATGATCCTCCCAAATGAATTAGGAAGGAATTTTCTAAAGGCACGAATTTCTCTTGGAAACTAGAGTCTAATTATCTCTCGTTGTGAACACGTTGTAGTTTGACCGCCGAATACATAGTGTTGTAACAACATATCGGACACGATTATCTACTGTGACATTGTGAGAGACCCAGCTCTCTTATAGACAAGATTGTATAGTGCGTATCGTACTAATCGCACTAATACAATCCACTCACCTCGAAGAAATTACATCACAATCATAAACATAAGCATCAGCATTTTATATATATATATATATATATATATATAT